CCCAAACCTGAAAAGAATAGCATCTAAGGACCCCACTTTAACCCCGTAAGGGTCCCTTAAAGTTCCCAAAACCACCAGAATAGCGTCCGAGCTCCCAAACCTGCAAAACCCAATAAAGACCACAGTAAGGCCCTTTACGGCCACGAAAGCTGTAAAGGCCGGAACAGTGGGGCGTCCCCTCGTGGTCGGTTCTCTGATGGTGAAGAGAGACCTAAAGAGCACGCAAGACCACAAACGCACCAAGTGAGCTGGTTACCAAAGCCTTGCTATCAAGCTTGCTCATTCGCTCGCCTTGCTATCAAGCTTGCTCATTCGTTCTCGTTCCTTCTCTTTCATCCCCGTGTATCGTCTCTCCAGATCGCACAAACGCACAAGTGAATCGGGCCAGTGATGCTTTCCAAAGGAACATGTGAAAATCCTCATATTCTACTTGAAGATGTCGGAAACCAAATACATAAACATACCCATACATTAAAACAAACAAAGGTCTCGGCCATAGGCAGATCATTGTATTTTTATCCGTGCCTGGAAACCCCTGCGTCCAAGTGATCTGGTTCAAGAAGTCCCTGAAGGCTCCGGGCTCTTTTTCTCTTTGAAGGTCATGCTGTAGGTCCAGGCACTATTACAGCGCCGTGACACTGCTACAGCGTCATTGGAGCGCCGGAGTATTGTGGTATCGCGCCTTGCGCAAAGAATCTCCCCAGGCAGACAAGACATAACCAGAAGGCCACTATTACAGCGGCAAATCTCTTTGCAGTGTGTGGGGCATCTGACCTTTGGAAGCTAGTTGGCCTGTAAGACGTCACGGAAGTCTGGCGTTTTCAAACTTTGAGTCTGGCGCTTTCAAACTGTTCTGTCAGCCTGGCGGAAAGTTGTTGACGAGTAGCGTCTCAAAGGTTTGGCACTTTACAGCGCCACGCTAAATAATGTTAAACAGCTTGTCAACCATGTGATCTTACTCTCCCTACTTATTCATAACATTGGCGCCAAAACAGTCACTCCAATAAGTAGATGACCCTCCATGTTCATCTTTCATGTCTTGTTTGCATGTCTTAGGTTTTCCCATCCTCAATCCTGGAACCTGTCATTTCAAAAAGAGTCATCGTCGAAAAAGGGCAGAGGCAGTGACACGCAGCCCTATGCCTATATCCTGGTATGACACTTTACAGCGTCAAAACTGTGACATGACATGTTCAAAAAAAAGCTTAAGTTCTCAGCCGGCGCTCTGTTGCAGGGTGCAGCAATGTTGACGCTTCCGCAGCTCTTTTTAATGGCTTCACTTGTTGTTTACTAGGAGGTTTGAAAAACAGCACTGGACACTTTTGGACACTTTACCGTGTACACATGCCTGTTGTTACATATATGTGTATATCAACAAATGACAGCGTCGATATTTGTGTGTACATACGTCTACAATGTCACTAGACAACGGCAAAAGGCCACCTCTGAATTGATATCACAACAAATTTGATATATATGTATATATATATGTATGGAAATCAAACGTGTATATACACATTCTACAGGCCATATCGTCTACAGCTGTATGCATAACCCTGCCTGAAAAGACCCGCCTCCAAGTGATCTCATTGAGAAAGTCCCTGAAGGCCCCGGGCTCTTGTTCTCTTTGAAGGTCATGCTGTAGGTCCAGGCACTATTACAGCGCCATGACACTGTTACAGCGCCATTGGCACTTTCCAGCGCCGGGCTGAACAAAACTTTACAGCTTTGGACAGCCCCTGAGGGCCACACCTCATGCTGCAGTCAAGACGCTCTAACGCTCTCCAGGTGAGTCTCAGCATGCCTGAGCTGACAGTTTTGAACGAGCAGTATAGTCTCACAGCCACTCTCACAGCGGCAAACACTAGAAGCCTCAAACCACAATAATATACATGGCATGTGCGTTAAAACCCTCATGTCTATCCAAAGAACTGCTTTGCTTTTAGCAAGGCAGTTGGCTTTGAATGAGGTTCTCATGCCTGTAGATAGACAATATAAGTTCTTGAAAAAGTATAGGAAAGTTAACTGCCCTGGAAGCTTGGTGCATTGGAAACTCTAAGAGTTGGGCCAGAGTGCAGGTGAACCTGGCCGAAGCTGTTGACCACACGAAACAAATGTTTGGCACTTTACAGCGCCGCGCTAAAGCCAAAGTGTTGGGCCAGAGTTTAGGTGAACCTGGCGCAAAGCTTTTGAGCGCACCAATCAAATTGTTTGGCACTTTCAAACGCCGTAATATAACCAAAGCTAATTGAGCAACGATAATCTTGGAACCATGGCACTAGGCCAATTGAGCAGTGGGATAATGTCACTTGGAAAGAAGTCATAAAGAACCAAAAAATAGGACGGACAAGGAAAGAAACATCTGAACCAAAACAACCATGGAGCAACTCTTCCATTCACACACTTCCTCACTTATCTACAGTAATGCAATTGCCACGCAATTGATCTGTTCAACCTGCGTCACTCTGCTCAACCTGTGTCTCACAGCGTTGGCGCCGTTTGTTTTATTGAGTCGCCCTGCCCCCCCTGGCCTGTTCTTTATTGCCAGTGATCATGCAAAAGTCACTGAACTTGTGAACTTCGATGGAAAACCATGCTCAGAACAACGACCTCACGACATTGATTCCTCAATGTTGGGCTCCCTCCAAGAGAACGATACACATGATCAAAACACAGATCACACTCTTACAGCGTGATTTCCGTTTGAGCCATCAATTTGTGATTTGCTGCCAAGCACGCTCTCGTCTCTGATTCTTTTTTAAATCAAATTTTTGTTTATTGCCTATCTTAAAATTCCGGGGACATCTTTCAAAAACCAAAAAATGCAAAAGCACACTCTTACAGCGGCTACTACAGCGTACTTCTTTTTTAAATCAGCAAGTTTGTATTCCCAAATCAAGCGTGATTGCAATTGCATTCACTTCGAAATTTTCCAACAGACAGCCAGAGTTGGACTTGCTCAAGTGGTAAGTAAGTCCCTGCACAAGATCTCAGGGAATCTAAAAAATGCCCAGGTTCCCACCCTCATTCCCAGCTAAGCACGAGCAAGAAGTATTGGGACTGGAGGCGCAGTCTCCGAAACATTTTCGGATGGAGGCCTTTTGTTAGGTGGCCCAGGCCATTCACTTCAACATGTCTGACGGTAAGGTACATCTGGTAATCCGCAAAGTGACTGCCGAGGATGATGGCACGGACATGGTTCTGGTCGCGGAAAAGGTTTTCAAGTGCAGAAGAAGAAGTGCAAGCCGTTAGGGAGGAGCGCAGTAGCATCGCAGCGGTGCAGATGATCTCTTCGAAGAAGAGGCATGCCAGGCATGCCGTCCACTTGATCTAAGCGACGCCCAACAAAGTGAAAAGCGCCAAGTGGTAGCTTGTAGTGTTTCTTAGAATCACTGCTGTTGGGGATGTTCTAAAGACTCTTCGCGCGTCCCCTCAGCATGATTTTGTCTTTGACTCGTATATCTTAGTACCCGAGCTGCCGCATGAAGTTGCTCCTCGTCCTTTTTGCTGCGATAGGGACTGTCCGCGTAGTATGCGTGCACAAAGAGCATCTGGTTGCTTGCGACGACGATGAGCACGCGACAGTCTTGCATGCTCGTGTTTCACACTGACTTCGATTTCGTCTCTTGAGGTGATTCTAAATTGCGTCGCAGCGAGTGGTTGGATGCTGAGTTCACGTTTGGTGTGGATGGACAAGCTGTGTCAACGAGATCTTGCCACCTTGTTTTGCGTAGATGAAAGTATCCGCGCCTGAGAGTTTCGCAACATCCTGCTTCAAGTCTTGTTTGCTTTGTAACATCGGGCGCCATGAGCATGGACGGATCTCATACCATGCCTCCCCAGGACACAGCACACATCGACGCATCTTGGCACAGGCGGGGGCCGCTCAGCGGCACAGTCACGCACAGCTTGAATTGCAATAGCTTTGGCATCGTCTCGCCACACGTGGATCTGGTAGGGTTTTGACGTGCAAACGTTGTTTCTGTTTGGCTCCAGCTGGGTAGCCGCGACTCCGTTAACCTCACTACCATTGTCGCACCATTCTTTGAAGGGACTGTCCGTGAGAGTGGGGCTGTTATCGCCACTGACGCTGCCGAGTGGAGAACAGAGCGAGAGCAGGATATCAGAGACGCTTATGCTGATAGGAGCCGGTGGACTGATTTGGATTATGTCACAGACCAACACAACTACAGCTTTAAGTCCATAGAAGCGTGGCCTTTGGATGCTGCTGTCATTTACAGGCCTACGGATCGAGCATCGCTGTTGCTTGGAAGTTTGAAAGCTGCGTGTAGCTTGCAAGACATTGTGGAGACCTCGTGCTTGAAGGTCACGGTGGTCGTCACCAGGTGCGCGCAGGAGATGAAGATCGAAGGTGCGCCGACAGACTGGACACAATACTTTCGACAGCAAAATTTATTGCGCATCAAGTGTCAGTTGGAGGACACGACATTGAAGCCGGCAAAGTGTTGGGTTGAGAAGATTCCGGACTTGGTGGGTGGCTTCCTGTCTGAGACAGTGGAAAATCATTGGCAACCAGTTGTGGGAACAGTCCACGCTGGCGGTCACCCAGGACAAATCCATGCGCGCGCTCTTTCACTGCTTTGGTGGCATCAATCGGAGTGCGGGGATTTTGTGTGCTGGGCTCGCTGTAGCTTACGAACATTCCGCACAGGAGGCCGTGCAGTTGCTGCTTCAAAAAAGACCAGCTTGGCGCCCTTGGCGCAATCGACCCTATGTCTTGGAAGCGTTATGGCACGTGGAAGGTTTGCGCGCTGAGTGCCAAAGAGACTTCAGCGCAGCACTCTTTTTGATAACTTCCGCCCATGGCTTGCCACAGGATCAAGCAAGTTCAGAACAGGCACAATATGTAACGCACACTTACACTGTATCTTTAAAGATATATATATATATGACAACCTTCAAACGTTCTTTGACGCAGCTTCGAACATGTTTCAACAGTCTGCACGCTGCACGGGGTTTTAACCAGAGCAAATTCAGTCCTGGAAGCATTGAAGAGCTCGCAGTCTTTGAGATCCTTCACTTCTTCACGACGATCAATTTCCTGCTGCGCCAACATCCACCTCAAAGCTTGACTCGCATGGCAGGCAACAGCACAAAAGCGCTGACATAGCTGGTCACACACCCCGATGATTCTTACAAAGCACCAGTTCGCAAATCACGTAAAATGCAACATGGCTTCGGAGGCTTGACAGCGTCAAATGCTGACTGGCATGACTAGCCATTAAGACTAACGCGCCGATGCCTCTCCAGCTGCAAACGTTGCGGCTGGGAAAAGCGATGTTGCCTGGCTGCGCATGTACTCCAAAAAGTCCGAACATGAATTTTTGTGGCGCTCCGTTGTTCAAAAGTCAGCCACACTTGCACGTCCAACCAGCTACGCAACACACTGATTGGCCTCATGTGGATTTACCCTCCGAGGAATAAATCGCGTATACTGTACTTTGATCTTGAGCCCAATAACATGAACCAACTGCCAGGTGTAATCAAGTCCAACATCTGCCTGTTTGCTGTGCGTGTGCGCGATTGCCTTATATGCCTATCGGCCTATTGGTCCAACGCGCGCGACTCCCTCATTTATTTGCCCCAGGGAGAAGCTCAGGGAGAAGGACCCAGCTCAGGTTTGCTGGAAGCGCCCTTCCAAGGCAAATGGACATATCACTTGGCCTGAAGTGTCTCAAACTGACGTCCTGTGCAAAAAGGCACCCTCTCCCTCGAGGTTCGGGTTTGTGGCGGGCTTTGTCTGTCAATGAGTCATTCCACCTTGGCCTTTGAATATGTGAAGGTTTGGGGGCAACCTTTCCCCTTTCATGGTGCTGGGGGCTGGCCAGTTGCCAGTTCCCGCCCTTTCAAGTGTACATGGGCAGCGTGGCTGGGGGTGAAGGGCTGGTGCTCATTTTCGCAGAATCTTGTGGTCCTGGCTGGTGCGAAAATTCGCCAAATCTGGCGTTCATTTTTGCAGGGTCTTGTGGTCCTGGCTGGCGCTAAACTTCGTCAAATCCGGCGCTAAATTTCGTCAAATCTGGCGCTAAATGTCGTCAAGTCTTGTGTTTTTCCTGGTGCTTCTGATTGTGCTTTTCTTCTAATGCTAAAATTCGCCAAATCTGGTGTTATATAAATTTCGTCACATCTGGTGCAAACATTCGTCAAGTTCGGCGCTATACAGTACGTGGGAGCGGGCGCCAAAGCAGCGGGAATGGGCGCAAATACGACAAGGAGTTCGTCAGAGGTTAAATCTGGTGCTAAATTGTTTCAAAACTGGTGCTAAATTTCGTCAAGCCTGGTGCTAAAGTTCGTCAAATCTGGCGCTCATTTTCACAGAATTTTGTCAGTTTCGTGGAAGCCTGCGCTGCTGCTTGTGCCAAGTTTCTGCCAAGCTCTTTCTCAAAGGTGCCGCCATTATCCTTTTTGACTTTCATTTCTGGCTGCGCACCAGAACCATGCAAACATACACGCGCATGGAGAGAAAAAAACAGCACATGCTTTGTAAGGGGCCATCTCCTCAGCTGACCAATTTGGTCACTGTTCTTGGTTTCATCGGATTGTGTTTTTCCAGTGAGTTTTTTCAAAAGCCCCCTTCCTGAGCTGCAGAGGGGAAGGGCTGCGCATTGTTCATTTTGAGAACGGATGGACATGAGGAAAGGATGCAGTGAAGCAATGATAGATTCATGGTGGGGGCTAAAACTTTCCCTGTTGGTCACGCCTGGCAATTGATTGGGCTTTGAGACAGCAAGCCATCATTATGAATGGGACAAATCACAACATGTCTTCAAATTTGAAGCTAAAATTCTTGCAATTTGCTGGCGCTATTTTTCATAAGGTCAGGAGTCAGTAGTAGCAAATCCATTGTGGAGCTTTTTTAGTGGGCACTGGACTAGATTAATGTATACTGTATACTGCTAGGCTTGATGCGCAAACGTCGATTTGCGCGGCTTCCCAGAAACAGTATGTGTGACTGTGCGCGCGCAAGTGTTCTACATACATCACTTCATTGGCGCCCACTGCCTGAGCTTGCCTTGCTCTTGCCACTTGCTTGGCAAGCTGGAAACTGAACACCAACACGGCAAAACAATCATGGCTCCTGGTACATTGGCTCCAGAAACGTCAAAAATACATAATTAGACTTAATGCTTGCGTCGCACCATCAAACGACAACGACTGCAGGAAATGCTGTGGGCTCAGGTCAAACCTACAAGCCAGCTGCACAGGACAGATCGTCGCTGCTCTACTGGAAGGCTGAACAGTAGCTTGCACAGCCGTGGCCTGTGAAACGTCCCAAAAGGTTTGGCAAAATGCAACGCAAACTCTACACACACGTTGCACAGTGCACTCTTCTTTTGGGCGACTTGCTGAGCTCCCGAACAGCGTTGAGCATTTCCTCCCCTCTTTGGAGGCGTGGAACTTTCTCGCGCGAGCTTCGCACCGAATAAAACACCTCATCTCGATACGAAGGACTTCCAAATGTGTCAAGGCTGGCCGAGTCCACGACTTTCCGCGAGCAGAAGTCTGACACAGTCTTTCAAAGGCATGTAACACCTTGTAATGATTCACACTTGCAGCCGTGCAGAAATACATTAGGAAGCAAAAAACACCATGCAGTGCCACACTTCACCATTTAGCAAAACACAAAGGAAGAAAAACACTCAACTATGTCTCACGTTTCGATGTTGATGCTGGTTTGCGCTTTGCCTTCTGAAGCTTTTCATCAGAGCCTAACAGAGTGCGTTCGGGAACAACAAAGCAAAGAGAGCATCAAAAGCCTCCGCGGTCAGGATGCGCTCGAAGAGCTGAAGCCAAAAAGGCCTCAAACCAACAGAACGCACTTCAAAGCTCTTCAGATAGCTACACAGCTGCTTAACACAGGAAGTAAGCCAACTCTTTGCAGGACCTAGGCCTTGTTGTTTTACCCCGATGGGCGCATATATTGTATATACATATATACATACGCACAAGGACATATGATAAACAAGGATGGGACTTCTCCAGATCTGTGGTGTTGTCATGAGTCGCGCGAGCTGAAAAAAAAGGGTCTAAAATCATGGTCCTAGCTTCAAGTCACAGCAATTCCAAGCGGTGGATTTCATGTAGACGACATCTGACTCATGCATATGGTTGTATGCTGCGCGTGCCCTTTTCTTAGCTGCATTCTGACTTGCAGGCCGAACGGCTCCAAATGTGAAGCTAAAAGTAGCAGTCCTCTTATAAGCAAGTTGTCAAGATATGATAGATGATTTTCCTATCACTCTTCTCTTTGTTCGTCCATACAAAACCCCCCACGCCAGCTGCCCTTCTCGTCTTTTCACTCACTCTCATCACCCCAGCGCAACGTCGCTTTCCTAGCTTTGAAATCGCTATACAATAGCTCTTCCATGCACAAAGAATCCGAAACACAATGCGAGCATGCCCGCAGTGGATGGGTGTCGGTGGCCCCTGCTTACATAGACCAATCACAGCCAAAACGGCCGCGTTGTCCGTTCATACCTCAACAAGTTTAATTGCCAATGTGTGTATGTGTTGTTTGCTAATCTTACCTACGTGATTGAACCTAGCGCCAAACCTAGCGCCTAGCGCAACCCTGCTTTTTCCTAGCGCGACAAGGTAGCATCTCCAAGTTACGCAACAGAATACCAAGCGGTGGCCAAGCTATTTCTGGGAACTTTCCTTACTTTATACATATTACCAGATTATTTTTCAACTCAACAACCCAAGCGCCCGAGTTTTTCAATTCTGAAATGATTCACGGGCCAAGGAGGACTCAGGGCAAAGGCGCAACCAAGTCGAGAGGCTTAGAACAGGCATCAAAGCCTGAGAGCCACGCAATTCAGTCGAAAAGAACATAGCATTTAGTTTGCACGCTGAAAGGGTCATTCAAGCAAAGGCTCCAGAGTTGCAGCAACTTGCAGCAACAAATCAACGGTTGGGAGTGAGCACGGGTTGAAACCCAATGTTTGGAGTCCAAGGCTAAGAGCCCATTCCGCAACAAAGGTCCCAGAAACTGAGAGAGAATAAAAACACAGAAAAGAATTGCTGATGAATCACAAACCGAATGCACTTCTCCTCAGCAATAGTGATCCCGGCATGGAAGCAGGAACTGGCGCAAAGTAGATTTCATGCCTGCGGAGAAGTCATGATCTTCGGCAGACAGGGCCAAGGGCCACCACCTGTCCCTGAAAGTGCAAAGTAGCACCTTGACACAGATCCTCTGCCCACATGGCAGGGTCCTGAACCTAAAGAGACAGCCAGCCCCTAGTCGCACAAGTCGCCCACTGGAAGGCTCGGGCCAAAAACTTGTCCTGGAGGTTGGGATTGAACAACTGATTCATGGTTTGACAGGAAGATTTATATAATATGAAAGAGGAACCCATAGACCATAGATAGAACTTCTTCTTCTCCTCGTCCTCTTCCTTTGCCTTATCCTCTACCTTTTACTCTTCCTGTTTTTGTTCCTTGTTCTTCCATTTTCTCCTTGATTTTTCTATTCCCATTTCTCTCGCTTTCCCTCATCCTCATCCTCCTCCTCCTCCTCCTTCTCCTCCTCCTCCTCTTCCCTTCCCTCTTCCCCCTATCTTTTCCCACTTGTTCTTTTCCTTTTCAATTTCCTACTTTCTGCATGGCGTTCCTTGCCTATGGTGTGTTGTTTCCACTTGGTCACACAGTGACTTGCTTCAGGTGCTGTGTAGTTTGTGGCTCTGATACAGGATACAGGATACAGTAGATAGAATGTTGGTTATTGAACTAAATGTTCGTCATTGCTTCAGGGGGAGCAAGAATACATGGCTTGCTGCTGGTCGGCAATAAACACAAAATATGTGCCATGAAGAAAAGCTTCCGAATGTGAGAAACATCCAAATGAAACGAACATGCGACATCTACAACTATTTGGTCCTGGAACCAGGGCCCTTCAAGATGCGCTGTGTGCAAAGGGCACGGTGACGTTCAATATGTGTGAACGCGGTGCTTGGTGGGAACTGTACATTGATCATTTGCCGACGGCCCTAATTATGAGACGTGTGACGACCATACCAGCGCCAGACTTCTCTTGTTTGACGGGCCTTGTGCCCTTGTACCCTTTCTGTCAATCAAGGCTGAAACAGGCCATTTTAGGAGGTCATCTTGGTGGGAAATTGAGATTACGATATCTATGTTCTTTAAACTTTAAACTAGCACGCACATTCTATCATGTAAATGTTTTGGGATTGGCTTAACTTATTGAACTTCTAGATATTCTATCTTGTATATGCCAGAATGAATACAACCAGTAGCTGTTCGTCATTTGGCGCATCAAGTTGGATGTTTGAGCTAACCACTGTTGAGCTGCAGGTTGAACTGATTGCTTCTTTTTGGATGGTAATTGAACCGCTTCGCGGTGACAAGAGCCCGCGGCGAAGGGGTGTGGAAAATGAAAGAGGCACAGTCAACAGCATTAATATAGGTGCATCCATGGATGCCGCATCAGGCCTTTGTTGCAAGCAACCATGCATACGTGCTCAATATCCACATCGCTCAGTCCATTACAGCACCTATGGAACATTGTTGCAATCTATATATATATAGACTTGTGGTAGCCACAAAATGATCCATCCATCCATCCATCCATCCATCCATCCGAATCCATCCATCCGAATCCATCCATCCGAATCCA